CAGCCACGGCGCAGCTCTACGTCTTAAACCCTAGACCGCCGAAGCTCCGTCTGAGTCTCCTCCCCCCAGACACCAGTTTAAGACCCTAGCCTTGCTCCACCTCTTCCTCTGCTCCCTCCTCCTCTGGGTCCATTTGTCCGCCAAGGTCTTGCCCTTCCTGGACTCTTCTGACGCTGAGTCCCCTGAGTCTTCCCCCTCCCTCCGGCGAGCTTTAGGACCTGGTTCCCAATCCGGGTTTTCTGCTGTCCCGCGCGCCTGTACATTTGAACTTGGCGCGCGCGCCCAGCCTGCCACCTTCCTTCTGACCGTTATACTGCTCCTGTTGCTGCTTCCCTCTTCGGGGATGCCAGCTGGGTTTGACCCCTCCTCCCTGCTTGCCGGAGGAGACGTTGACTCTGACCTATGGGGCTCTTCCCCCCCACTACGCTCTGGTGGGGAAGCTGGTCCTGATTTCCAGCTACTGCTTTGGGAGTCTCCGCTGTCCCCCTGCTTCTGGTGTGTCCCCCCTGGGACCCCCCCTTGCCCTGGCCATCGGCGCCCCCTTCTGGGAATCTTCCGAATCACTGGAGAGGCTTATGGAATCTCTCGGGTCACTGTCATTCTGCCCTCCGCTGCCCTCAGATTCTTCCCCTTCGCTCTCCATTCCCTCTCTCCCCTGCGCCTCTGCTCCTGAGCCCCTGACAACCTGTTTTTGAAGAAGTTCTGGTCAGTAAAGCTTTGAATCACAATTATGGGCCTGGACAATTTTTATTCAAAAGGGAGTCAGTTTTTATGCATCAGATTGCTTTGCGCTGCACAATATTAATATCTGCAGTACGTCAGTGTGACCTGCAAAATGCTCTAATCCCGCTAGCATTTCCCTCAAAGAACTAAATATTTTAAAATGTTTGTTATCCAAAGACCTATGCACAAGTTTCCGCACGTGTCCCCTCCCACTGCCTCCGACCGCAAGCCCTCTCACAGCATCGTAATTGGGGCCGGAAAAATGAAATTCATAGAAAGGGGCATTAGCGTGAAATTTGATGCCTTACAAACAAACAAAGACACCACCTATTTTGAAGGAGCTTTTAGTCCTGCTTCTCCTTTCAGAAGTCATTTTTGTATATCTCCCATGGGCAACAAGTCTGAGGATGCTGAGTGGTCTGAGTGTGTGCTGGACTCTCCAGACTGCAGCAGACAATAGAAGGCATCATCGTAGCTTATTATTCCATTCCCAGAAGTGATAATATACCATATCAATATTTCCTGGAACAGAGCTGCGCTCTACGATGAGCTGATTGGCTGTTTCGGTGGGGCAATAACTCATGAACGTTGCAAAACTGCAGTTTAGCATACCCACAAGTAAAGGGGTGGGAGGTAAATGGGCTCCTTTCATCTCGCAGTCCAGCTACGAGTAGGTAGAGTCATGTCTAGCCCCATTTAAAAAGCTTTCAGTGTTATTTATCAATTTAGTCACTCTTTAAAACAATGGTACATTAGTTAATTCTGATATTACAGTGAAATTCCAATGGAAGAACATATTACAGCCACATTAATATCACATTAGCTCATCATGATTAATGCTATTGCAATGAATGAATTAATAATGATTTGCTTCTTCACCAAGTTCCCCCCACCCTACCTTGACATGAATAGGATCCATGGCATTGATTATCACAAATATAATGGATTGATCCGTCATTTATGGGAAATGAGGATACTCTTCCCATCAAGCTCACTCCTCCCTCCCCTCCCCGGCTTCAATAGATGTATTATCTTTGGCAGGAACTCAAAACCATCCATAGATCATTCAAAGAAGTCAATTATTAGCATCCAGCACCATGCCATGAGTAGTAGGCTTCTGCTGGGAATGTATATAGAAATGAATGAAAGTTGGGCAAACCACAGGCCACATCTGAGTTGTAGAAGGGAGGCATCTTATTGCAACCCAAGCCAACCAGGCTCCACTTTCAACTTGCTTCCATTCTACGAAGTAGCAAGCAAAGCTCTTAGGTACTGGGTGGCTAGGCTCTTCCTCAACCCACAAGCATTTCTAACAAGCTTCAGCAATTCTGGAGTTGCAACAAGCTCTGTTTCATCTTTTCAACATAGCGCCAAGTAGATAGATTCACCAGTGCAAGGATTTCTCTTTCTACAATGGAAGGATCTAATGCTCTTGTCTCCCTGTGCCACCCTATATCTGTTCTGGGGAAAACTCTAGAATAGATTTGGGGGTGGCACAGGGTATGTGCAGGTAGAGGAGCATGGTGTGTGTGTGTGTGTGTGTGTGTGAGAGAGAGAGAGAGAGAGAGAGAGCGCTAGCGACCCCCCCCCCCCAATTTCATACAAGGCCAGAGTTGTTAAAAAAAATGGGATGGTTTTAGGTCTGTTTGAAAAGAGGTGAGAAAGTATCGGAGCACAGGTTAAATGGTACTTGTAAGAGGCAGGTGTATTGGTTCAATCTAGCACTTAACAATGATTTAGATTTTGAACTTTGCATTTCCCCCCTCAGTCCAAGGAGATTTCAGTGATACTGCATTATCATGTCCTGGGTGCTTTCTGTTCATATAAATGCTTTGTCACAAACTCCTTTTCATTCTAATAAAGAAAGGAATCATTTCAGAGATTTTTATTCTCTGGAGAGAACATAATTAAGGTAGCATCAAAATATGTATGAGGTTCAAGCATACCCATTTTTTATTTTTTAAAAAGAAGTAAAATATGTTTGAAGAAAGTGTGACTTTCCATAATGTCTACAAACATCAGAAAGCCATATGTTCACCCACACTGCTAATGTTAACTGTGAGTGTTATATAAAAACACTTCCAGTTTTAACTGGGCGTTCCAGAACTCACTAAAAAGCTATTAAAATGTAGTGCATATCACCTGAGGATTAAGCATATTGTCAAGGTTTGAAATTTAAATTTGCAGTTGTGTAGCACCCCATCATAAAACGAGGAGTTGGGAATCTTGTTTCTATGACCAAGGCAAAAAGCAGAGCTGAGCAGAAATCATCTTTTTGAGAAAAGTTCTGAGTTTCTCCCTACACTTTGCCTTGCTCCAACAGAAAATGAAGACAACGTCACAGAATTTTCACCTAAGATTTTCCCTCCATATTTTTGTGGCAGCTTCTATCCCCCCTCCCTACTGCCGTGGAATAATAGGAACACTGGAAACTGCCTTACACTAAATGAGACCACCAGTCCATTTAGCTTACTATTGGCTACACTGACTGGCAGGAACTCTCTGGGGTTTCAGGCAGGGCTCTCTCCCAACCCTCCCCAGAGATTGAATTTGGGACCTTCTGCATGTGAGGCACAGGCTCTACCACTGAGCTCTGTTGCTAGGCCTGGGGCAGTGTAGAGGGTGAAAAACACTTGCAGTGGCAGCACCAACAAAGAAGACAGTGGGGGAAAAGGAAGAAGCTGTGCTCATGTCAGTGGTAATGGTGAGCCCGATCCCTGAGAAAGCTGTCTTCTCCCTGGAGAAATTCAGTAAAATTTATCTGCCCATAAATCGGGGTAGGGGTGGGGGAGTGAGAGGCCATATGCAAATACCTATAATAGAAACCAAATATAATTTTGTTTCTTATGCAAATTTTAAATTCTGTGTAATTCATCCACAATAGAGGTTCTCAAATCATTTGATAATGTTTTAGGCAAGGCAGAATGCGCCACAAAGGAAAAAAAATGAGATAGTCTTAAGGTCACCATGAGAACTAGAAACTTGATTATTAAAAGGTGGTTTGCTGAACAAGAGTGTGGCGTCTTGAGAATATTAGCAAACAACCTCAATGTAAGCAACCAGGTAGAGGTCCCAAGAAGAAACTCAACTCTCGTGAGGTAGTTACAGTAGTAGAGAACAGATTTCTAATCATCATCATCATCATCATCATATTTTAGGGCACCGATAGTGCTTAGAACACACATTTGTTGTTAATGGACAGACTTTGCAGTATACAGTTGACATGAACATAATGCACTTTGCCAAATTGTGAGTCACATCTGTCAATCCCATTCTGGATGTGACACAATACATTACTAAGACAGTCATGAATTTTCTTAAAGACTGTGAGATAGAGGTTGATGCTGTGTTTATATTTACATCTGTGGAAATACTGCATAGTGAGCAGTGTGGAGAGAAAATAGATGCAGCTACAGACCCCCAGTATCTATTATGTTACAGAACTGTGTGGAAAGACTGCATCTGTCCCAGACGGTACATGTTCATTTATATATTAAACATTAATATATTTGAAGAACTTCTTGTTGTTTTGAGTTTAGGGTTGCCATAGGCCAGAATTTCCTGGACATATACGGCATACTGTAGTTGCAAGCAGTGTCCGGATGGAAATCGGCTAAATGTCCTGGAAAATCCAAATGTATAGCAGACCATGTTCACAGTGTCGTTTTTGCCAATTTTCCTCAGAAATAGCTCAATTTCTTTGCAACTTTGGCCAAAACTGAAAAAAATTCAACAACTTTTCTGTCCAGATTTTCACTTTTTGAAATATGGCAACCCTATCTTTACGTTTTTAGCATTTCAGCTCTGATTACTACCTCCTCCTGGGGGAGAAAAAGAACTAATTTCAAGACTGGAGACACAACCAGCATCTTTCTCTGCTAGGGACATGGAGGGTTAAACTAGAATCCCTGTGATCCCTGGGAAGAAATGCCAGTGTACCATTCCTTCCAGAGATCACCAGGTGTTGTAGTTCAACCTTCGTAATCCCCTGCAGTGTCTTCACTTCACAAGTATGGTGGGGTTTTTTTTAAAAGCATTTATTACATTCACTCTGTAAAAAATCTGACACACATAAAACCAATGACAGATATGGAAAGTGACCCCACCGAAAGAAACTTTACAGTACAAATTTAAATCCATACAATTTAAATTGGCTTAATCTTGAAGTGTAATAATAATAATAATAATAATAATAATAATAATAATAATAATTTATTATTTGTACCCTACCACTCTGGGCGGCTTCCAATGAGAAGGAAGACGAGACACTTGAGGTCTTAGACCTTCTGGATCCTTGGATAAGAGAACCATCCTTGGATAAGAGAACCAATTTTTGAGGTGGTAAAAGAGATGTGTTCATCACCAATGACTATTTCAAGCTCCTGCCGGCCAACTCTGTCAGGAGGCGGCCATAATGCATCATCTTCTTTCCTGTTTTCACTGCCATCAATTATCTTCTTTAGCTTTTCCATCACACGTTTATGTACGTAGGCTTCTTTTCTGATCATGACATCATTTTTATAATTGCTGTTGTTTCATATCTCAGTTTCCCGTCAGGGCAGAACTCGAACTCGAGAAACTCATGGCTGAACTTCCCCTTGTGCCTAACGTAATAACGCAGATAGAAATCGCTCACCATGGCCCACTTCACAAGTCGTTGGGAGGCTCAGAGGCTCAGTAGGCCTCTTCTGTCTTAGGGGAAGCTGCCTTGGTTGCCTGAATTTCCTGCCCCTTGGGGATGATGATGGGCAAGTGAACAGCAGATTTCTTGTGAATGCTGACTGGACCAAAGCAAGTAAGTGAGCCTCTGTGTGCTGCAGCTCTCCATATACCATGGCCCACTGGAGTTATGTCTGCTGGTTGGTTGAAGATGTCCCCCTACAGTGCTAGTTAAATGCATAAGCCTATTACTTCCAGTTGGAGGAAGTACACGGCGACAGCGGTGGCTTTTAATGCTTTTAAACCATTCCCTTTCACTAGAAAGAAATCAAATTGCAAAATCAATTACAATAATTAAAACTTCCCAGCCTTAGCTCTTAATTAGGCAAGACTTTAGTTACGACTCGCTTCTGAAAACAAAATTTACAGTCCAGTTATTCAGTCCCTCAGAGTTAAAACCCACTGCTCTATAAAATCCGGTGCTCTTGGGATTATTTTTGTACATGTCAATGACTATTTTAAACATGTACCAAGATTACTGTGATAGGAAGCCACTACAGTGGTACCTCGGGTTAAAAACTTAATTCGTACTGGAGGTCTGTTCTTAACCTGAAACTGTTCTTAACCTGAGGTACCACTTTAGCTAATGGGTTCTCCTGCTGCTGCCGTGCGATTTCTGTTCTCATCCTGAGGTAAATTCTTAACCCGAGGTACTATTTCTGGGTTAACGGAGTCTGTAACCTGAAGTGTCTGTAACCTGAAGCGTCTGTAACCCGAGGTACCACTGTACTCATTCTCCTCCATTCCACTCTGCTCTCAACCACCCATGCCACTCCATTTCTGTTGTTCCAGTTAAAGGTCTATATTTTTCTCGATGAGTTTTTCATGAAAAGGACCGGTTCTAGTGCTTTTCATTGCTGACATAGGGTGGCCATCCTTTCCAGTTGCTTTTACATGATTGTTGGGTGGTGCCCTGAAATAATTATGCCAGCTGTGACTGAATCAGCTATTCAACACAGATTATTGAAGGTTGTACGCAGTGGGGTCTTGCTCAAAAAAACCCACCTATCCATTCTGTGGAATGGTTCACCTGAGAAATCCAGCAGGTGAGACATGTGGTGGTATTTCACTGGTTACTAAAGACTTACTTGTCCAGGCATTCCTGGGCCACTCAGAAGTCTAGAACTCAAGGTCATCCAATGAAGATTAATGTTGAAGATTCAGAAGAGACAAAAATAATTCACTCCCACAGGAAGTAATGATGGCCACCAATTTAGCTCGCTTCAAGAGAGGATTAAACGCATTCGTGGAGAGTAAGGCTATTGATGGCTTCAAGCTAGGAATATACCTCCACTGTCAGAGGCGAGACATACAGGGTTGGCGCATCCCATTTCACTGCCTGAAGCACAATGGGAAGGAGCTACCCCTGTTGTTGATCCCCAACTGCTGCCTCCCGGAAATTGTGTGGCTGTGGTGGTAGCTTCCAGGTTCCAGCGAGATCTCACAAGAGCCCTGCAAGATCTTATCAGAACCTGGAAGCTGCAGCTGAAGCCACTTCTTTCACTTCTCTGGTGGTGGGTGGGGTGCCCATGATGCCTCCATAGAAGCAGGAAGAAGAGGCAGCAGCTTCTGGGGAGATTCCACAAGATTTTGCTGGCTCTCGCAAGATCTTGCTAGTAGCCGCTGCTGCAGCCTCTTTTCACTTCTGCATTGGTGGTGGTGACCATGATGTAGCCACCCTCTTGGATTTTGCTGCCTGAGGCGGCTGCCTCAGTCTGCCTCATGGACAGGCCGAGTGGCCAGCCCTAGGCCCAGAACATGTTGCTGGGAATTGTGGGTAGTGAGAGTCCTGCTTGTGGGCTTTGCTGAGGCATCTGCTGGGTCCCTGTGAGAACAGGATTCTGGACTAGATGGGCCACTGGCCTGATCCAGTAGGATCTCAAGGTCTGCAAAGCATTTGAAGAGAACCTTTCTATTTTCGGAAGCTACATTGTAATTATTCAGGAAAAAAACAGGAGTAAAGGTGTATAAAGTTACCATAGTCCATAAACTGCTTGCAGATGAAGCTCTATAGATAAGAGATGCAGAAATTCAAATCAATATTTGCAGATATAAAAGCCTTTATTTTAAAGTTACCTTCCCTTTATTTGTGTAAGAACTTCATTGCAGTTTAATAGCTCTTTCATCGCATGTTGCTTTTTGGCTCAGATTTCTATTTTTCCTCTCTCTTTATTTTTTTACACACAGAAACCATTTTTATAGCACATTACATATGTTGTTGCATTTTTTAAAAGAAAAAAACCTTGATTTTTCAATGTGTATTTAAAAATGTATATATTTATCTTTGATTTTATTTATTCAAGAAGCATGGCAATCTATTTTGGGAAATACCAGCAAAGCTAGAATTTTTGAATCATATTCCTTCGCATATGGTATTAATATATCTCTGTCTTGCATTCATGCAATGCACCAACAGATGTCAAACATTTCTGTTTTTTAATAGGCCTCAGATCTTATAAGAGTCCTTTTCAAGAACCAGCAGCAATATGGTTTTTAAGCTACAGTGCATTTACAAGTTTGTCTCTTCTGAGGTTTATTTTACTAATGATGAGGGTTTCATCCATTTTCCAAACAGAATTAATTTTGTATAGAAGGTTTGCACTGAAAAACAAAAGGAGGGATCTTATAATGTTTAAAAGTTCTCAGATTTTAAAAGATTATATTAAACTAGACAACAAAGTTCAGTTGTGACCTATATCCTCTAGTTTAAATGCAGCAGCTTACATAACTATTTACAGATGTACAATGGAAGGGATGAGGTTATTTTTCTGTAATCTATGCTTACATTTCCAACTGTTGAATCTGAAATGGGCAATATCTTAGCACAGTCATTTGTGTGTGTGACATCGCTTGTGTTTCAAGGCTTTACAATTCAAGCTTTTTTCATGTGAGACACATTTAATAGATGTTTCTGCTGGCAGGTTGTAATGGCATCACAGTTCCTCCTTGCCCATATGGGGATGGGCAAACTTTGCCCTGACATCCCAAAATGCATTACATTTGGCATCTTTCCCCTGAATTTTCATGTAGTGTGGATATAACCGTGCATCCACCATTTACTGTAAAACTTCCCTGTAGTTTGTTAAGGGTGCTGGGACTTGTAGCTCTGTGAGGGGGAAACTGCAGTCCTTGGGATTCTTTGGGGGAAGTCCTGAGCTTTAGATGTGCATTGAATCTGCTTTAAACATGTGGTTTGCATCTACCACCATCATACAAGTCTTCCATGCACACAGCCAACCTGTAATGTGGATGCAAAAATTCAAGATGGATTCTCATCTGCGTTTGCTTTCACCCTGCCTGAACTATCAGATGGCACTTTGCTCTTTCTTTCTGATCCAGGGTTTTCTTCTCAAGCACAGTTGGGGAGTCTGTATAACGGCAAAACAGTCAGCTACGGGTCGCGGTGATAGCAACAGCCCATGCGCTAATTCCCAGGCCTCCTACGCTGCAAAAAGGATTAGCAAAAGCACGAGACAATAATGCCAGGCTGATAATTATATCAGTCTGCTTTACCTTGCTGAAAATGGCAATCAAATAGAATCTACACTTGCTAAGTTTATATGTTGGCGTGCAAAATCCTATTTGCCTTCATTAACAAGTGCTTAGGGCCAATTTCTCAGCTGAGATCATACTTTTTAGCCATCCTTCATGCTGTGCTTTCATCAGTGTTATGTTTCGATTTGAAAACACTCATAGAAGGCAGGGACGTGGTGTGTGTGCTTTGATTCTTTTTGATTGAGTGCCTTAATTAGGTCACCACCACCAGCACCAAAATAGTGTGTTTTAATAACCTATGTCATTACGGAGCAAGAGGGTGAGATTTGAGTTCTGCTGTAAGGAAGCCTCTCCTGCCTCAGACATCTGTTCTGAAACTTAACATGGCAATATACTCACTGAATTGCAAGAGCAAATTTGATTAGTTGGAACTTCTGGGAATATTTTCCAGCTGATTAACCCAGGGACCTTATCATTAAATATTGGCATTGTATGGATTGACCAAAATCCAAGCGAATGTCAGATATTAAAGACCGTAATTGCAAGTTAACTAGAAGATGAAGGAGGCTTAATCTAATGATGACTAGGGTGAAATATTGCTAGAATTACCATATTAACATGACTAAGCCAGCTAATTAATATGGTTATCCTATACAAAGCCAATTTGGCTGAATTTCATCAAAGATTTAAGACTTCTGCGGAAACTGTCTTTTATAAATGCGCTATGTGTGGGGATGTTGCTATTGTTTTGCTTTTTCTGCTGGTGCTAAGGAGCATGAGGTAAAGATGACCTCAACACTACAAGTGCTTTGCTTTTTTGCTTCCCTCCCCCACTTTTTTAAAAAGGAAACATAAATAACAAGGCAAGTGGCAAATTTGTGGATACCTTTTTCAGCCCACCAATAGGGCCCTGATGCGCCATATACTTTAAAAGTGGCATCACATTGTAATGGAGTACATATGGAGACCCTAAAAAGGAAGGTTGCTTTGGAGAATAATTAAAAATAGTGTCTTGGGTGTGTGTGTGGAAATGGTGCTCATTTAAATAGGAATGTGGATCTTCTCACAAGGGAACTTTTCATTTTACATCAGACAGATTAATGCTTTTGAAGATCAGCAGACTCAGGGCTTATCTTGGCTATCCCAGGATGTGCAGGTAATATGTATCTGTTCATTTCTACCTTTATTAGAACCAGCTAAGACTGCAATCTTGGCCAAACTTACCTAGGAGTAAATTGCTTTTAATTCAGTGGGATCACACAGGTAGCCAGCCTCACAATGACAAG